CATATCTCTAGGTGTCAAATGATGAGAAGCGGGAAAAAATGACTTATGACAATCTCCCAGAGACAGATTTCCAGAGATACATTAGATCAACCAAACACTGTAAGTTGGACCATCTACATTTCTGTATTTACAGTCCCTCACTCTATTTTTTTCTGCAGTGTAACGTAGTTATAAGACATGACCACTTACTTGCATTTCCCATATGTTACTCATGCGTTAGCGTTTTGCTTCATCAGCTATGACAGGCTCTGAAATTGATAACTGTACAAAAAGGACGATGCTACTGCATGATCACAGGCCTTTTTATTTGTTTGACTGTGATTATCTCCGAGTTTGTCAAATCCCAAAGAGGAAGGTACACATTTCTTTCTAATAATTAACAATTTCGATCCTCTAGCCAAAAGATTCTCATATAGAGAGAGAATTGTTTGCAGGGAGCTAATTTCAGGGATCTTCCAGGGTTAATCGTCAAAAATGACAACACAGTCTGCCGTGATCCATCAATGGAACCGATTCTTCTGCCATCAGGAAGGCCTTTGGTAAAGATTCCTCTTAAATGTCATTCTACTTGTTAAGTCTGCTGATTCAACACTTTCTCGAAGTTTCAAAGATGAATATTTTTGTATTTAATCATCTCACTTGTGGCCCTTTTTAGGTACCAGAATACGTCTTTACTTTTCAGCAAGGGAAATCTAAAAGGTATTCTCTTAAGCTCTCCTCTTAACTGAAACCATTTGTTCAAAATTTCCCATGTTCTTTAAGTCTTTTTTGGATTTCGATATTCGCAGACCATTTGCGCGTCTTTGGTGGGACGAAACAGTTCCAACCGTTCTAACAGTCCCAAGCTGCCACAGTCAGGTCTCCCTATAAAGCCATTCCTCTGCAGATTTTCACATGAATTCATCTTTTGTTTTATCCAAATGTTTTCTAAGAGTTTTCTTATTTACAGGCGTTACTGCATCCGGAGCAAGATCGAATGCTAACCATAAGAGAATGCGCACGGCTTCAAGGATTCCCTGATTACTTTCAGTTCTGTGGAACAGTTAAAGAAAGGTTACTACTTACTTTGTGTTTTCTTTAGGATAAAAAAACCGTAAAACAAGAGACAAATCTCACTCACTAGTCACTACTATTTTAATTATCTACAGGTATTGTCAGATTGGAAATGCAGTGGCGGTTTCAGTTTCTCGTGCTTTGGGTTATTCTCTTGGTATGGCTTTTCGCAATCTAGCCCGCGACGAGCATCTGATAAAACTTCCGAAGAATTTTTCTCATTCAAGTTACCTTGAGCTTCAAGAAACCATCCTCATTAAAGACTTGGAAAATCAGTAGCAGAGACAAATCCCTTTACTATCACTTCAGTGTATCAACGACGACGTATTAACTCAAATTGATCAAAATTTTCTCATAAAAACTAACAATTTTTGTGGGTGTTAACCGATTTTTAAACAAAAGTATAAACAGAATCCAAATTTATTTTTCTTACCGATGTAACCCGAATATCTCTTTTTGTGGGAAGAATTAATAAATAAAATATCGATTATTAATTTATGGAGGTTATACTATATTGGGATGTGTTTAGTCAAAGAGAAAAAATAATCAGGTTTATTTGAATCTAACTGATGAGATATTGTTTCTTATAAACCGCTGTTCGGTTTTTTGCTGAATATTTTTTAGATTGCTGAGATGTTCCAAGCTCGATCGGAAGCGGAATCATCCAAAGCAATGATCAAGTCAAAACAGTTCACAATTTCCCAATTGAGATTGTCTAATAAATTCTACATCGGTATATATGAGATTGTGGATGATCCTTCATTGGATTCAATAATCTCATGGAGCAAAAGCAACAAGAGTTTCGTCATTTGGAATCAAGAAGAGCTAATTCACAAAAATATTATTTCAAGATTTCATTGCAGAAATTTCTAGTTTTGTGAGAGCTTTTGAAGAAAATGCAGATAAAAAAATGTGGGGAAGAGGATGAAGAGAAAAGACTCAAAGCAAAGAAAGCTACAGAGGAAGTAGAGGATCATGCATTATCGTGAAAGAATACGTTCTCGGTCTGCAAATGGAACTGGGAAATGAAAGGTGACCCGACACGACAACAAGAGCTCGATCGCTGCTTATTTCACTCACTGTAATCTCCAAACTCCTCACCTACGGCTCGATCTCCTCAGTGCGATGAGCGTCTGCTACAAGGCGAAGAACCTAGCCACTGCTTCTAACTTCGCTAGAAGGTTGATAGAGATAAACCCAGCCGTGGAGAGTCAGGCCAAGACTGCGAGACAAGCTGCCGAACGCAACATGACCGATGAAACCAATCTAAACTATGATTTCAGGAACCCGTTTGTGACATGCGGTGCGACTTATGTACCGATCTACAGGGGACAAAAGGATGTCTCATGTCCGTACTGCACGGCCCGGTTCGTGCCAGGGCAAGAAGGAAACATCTGCACAGTGTGCGATCTCGCAGTCATTGGCGCAGATGCATCGGGATTGCTCTGCTCTCCTTCGCAAGTCCGGTGATCTCGCAATCCTGTGGGTGAAGTGTAAGTAAGAGACACTCTTGAGTTGTCTGTTTTGAACTTTCTTTCTATCCTCTCTTATAGGTTTTAATATTTTCATGTTCAGTGCAAAATTTTAAGCCGTTTGTGATTGTGAGACTTTTTCTTGGTTGCACGGTTATATCTATCTAGTTTTTTTCTCCTTATTATATGTATTAACTACTTATGAGAATTTTTGAATTCCTCTGCTCTCTCTTTTTATTTTTGCTTTGAATTTTCCTATATATGTAAAAGATGCGTTCCTGATGTAATGTAATATTCCATTAATGGGGAATTCAAAATATATAATAACGAAGAGATTTTATTCGTTGTCCTCTTGTCGTGTTTTATGGATAATCGTCTTATTATAGATCTTCAATTACATCTCAATTTTGCTTGACAAATATTCTTATCGACATCTACAAAATTATTTATAATGTCAACTTTGATCTTGGATGAAACAATGTAGTCATTGCAA